TCAGTTTGAATTTCTGCTTGAGATAATTAACAGGTCAACTACTTGCAGAAAGTTGGTCTTGCTGACCTCGTGGCTATTTAAAAGGTGCTGAAGTGTTTGGTTTAAACAATTGTGTATCTTTTAATTACATGAGATTCAATTGAAGGATTACTGTAAAGAAATAAGAAATACATTTATCTAGAACTATAGAAGAAAACATATTTTATTAAAGGACATCTTGACATTCTACCAGAAACATTTGTTTCCAATTGTATCAGTATTCCTGGTGTTGCTAGGTGAATCATTTGTGAAATTCAGCATTATTAATTACAGGATATAAAATCATTGGTACAACTTAATGTCTGGAGTGTACACAATGAAACATTAACTCCTGGGGCCTAAGGAATAAGAGGATATTTGTTTAGCCTTGACGACTCTAGTTAGAGAGATGGGATGACATCAGATGACTTCACCTTAAGCTAACACGGAGAATTAATTCACCTTAAGCTAACAGAGAGTAAATTTGGACCTGCATATTGGTATTAGCCCTTGGAATTAAGGATAAGTGTTTGATTCTCAGTTTTTTATGACATGGTTTTACCATAGCTTCTGTGGTGCAATTCTTCTGAGACGTAATTCAATATAACATCACCTCAATGAAGATGAAAGGCATCACCTGTGCTGGCACCAGTCAAGGAATCCTGGGCCTTAAAGGATATACAACTTTGGATCACTGCTTGTTTGTACAAGTATTTATAAAACCTGCTTAATTGATTTTACTTGATTCACTGATCCTGGTTGTTCATACTTTGTTAGGTCAGGAGAAAGGGGGAAGATTTAAAAAGCACCGAAAGGGTAACATTTTCACGCAGTGGGTGGTGCGTGTATGGAACAAGCTGCCAGCGGAAGTGGCGGAGGCCGGTACAACTACAACATTTAAAAGGCATCTTAACGGGTACACGGATAGGAAAGATTTAGAGGCATATGGGCCAAATGGTCAAAATGGGACATCTGGTCCGCGCAGGCAAGTAGGACCAAAGGGTCGGTTTCCACACTATATGACTCCATGACTCCATAGTAACAGAGGATCCCATTGACATAAATGAAGAATTGGGAACATAGAGCTTTTAAGGAAAAAAGGGTTTTATACCATGTTCTCAGTTCACCTGTATTATACCTTGTATTTCTTGCATTAAAGTATACCATATAGCATAGACAACAGGCAAGTTTGACAATTTTCTAGCCTATCCTTTAAATATAGCTACTAATTTTCTCCCTTCCATTTCTTTACTGTCTCTTCCCTATCTACTCTCAGGTCCTCACCTCCCCTCCAGAGTAAGCCCTTTTGAGGTTCAATCTGTCTGGCTTGTACGGGTCACACCTCCTCTAGAAATGCTCCCAATGCTTCAAGATTCTAAAACCCTCCCTCCTACACCATCTTACCATTTATTCATCAGCATTATCTTACCATTTCTGAATTCACTAGCATGTCATACTAACAGCAATCAGGAGATGACAGCCATTAAGGATCTGCTTTACAACCTTTCTCCTAGCTCCCTAAAACTCTACCCTCAGGACCTCACCCCTCTTCCTGCCTATAATCAGTATAGATGTGGACCTCTGCCATTCACTCTCCCTTCTCATCAGAATATTCTACAGCTACATAGTGGCATCTTCAATGCTGGAACCTTCTCTGGTTAATACATCATTGAAGCTATTTTGTAGGTGGTGCTTTTGCTGATTTCACTGGGAGGTTCTCTAGCCATTTTAACTCCTCAGACATTGTGCTCAGATTCTCTCCAGGTGTTCTGCTGCTGCCAACAATGAGGATCCAATTGCACAATACTACTCCTTCATTCATAGACCACGAACATCCCTGAGGCCAACATTTATTGCTGATCCCCATTTCACCTGAGACAGTGGTGGTAAGGTGCTTTGTTGAACTGCTACAATCATTGTATAGGTTCACAGTGCATTTAAGATATTCTAGGATTTTAACATTTTGGAATGGTGATATTTTTCCCAAGTAAGATGATAAATGACTTGGAGGGGAGTTTGCAGTCAATGGCATCCCCGTGCACCTATTGCCTTTGTTCTTTGAGGTGATAGGAATCCAAGGTTTGGTAGACGCAGTTGAAGAAATCTTGGTGAGTTGCTGCAGTGCAACTTGTAGATAGTGGCAGCAGTGTGTACTATGTGCCTATGGTGGAGAGAATGAATGCCAAAGGTGGTGGATGGGATGCTGATCAAGTGAACTGCTTTGTCCTGGATCTTGTTAATTATCATGAGCATTGCTGGAGTTGCACTCATCCAGTCAGTGAATCCATTTCACACCTGATTTGTGCCTTATAGATATTAGACAGACTCAAAAGTAGTCAAGAGGTGAGTTACTCATCAGCGAATACCCAGTGTCTTGAGCTGCTCTTGTACGCACAGTAGTCTGAATACTTGTCCAGTTTTGTTTTTGGTGAATGGTAAGACTCCCAAGTTGAATATAGTGAGGGTCAGCAATGGTAATAGCATTGAGTGCTAAGAGGAAACCTCTTAGTGAAGATGGCTGTTATCCAAACCTTATCCCCAATAAAGTTATCAATTATCTACCCAAACCTGAATGTTGTTCTGGTCTTGCTACACATGAATTCGGATTTTTTTCCTCTTGAGGACATATTACTGTCAAGTTTTGTATATTGTTGTTCCTATACCTTTTGCCCCTTGTTTTATTTTCAGCTACCTCATCTATTTTTGCCCCCTTCTCCCATGCATATTTGTTGAACCAGTGTTACAAAATTCTAATTATTCTTCCAGCAATGCCATAGGCATGCTTTGCAAAAAAAAAGGCTGAGCCAGTTTTGTACAGATCACCTGTCTCACAGTGATCACAATCTCCCATGAATCTGAATACCACCCTACTTTACTATTTCATTAGTTATATATTTTGCAATTGTCTAGTTAATAAAAGAAAGCAGCAATGACAAAAGTAGTAATTGAGATGACTACTCGAGGTTCTGTTTTTTAATACGTCACCTAACCTGAAATTCCTGGATTTGCTCCAAGTAGTACGCACCCTTTAAAGTAACGCGATATGGAATCAACAAAAATAAATTGAGATTATCATCCTGCAAGCATTTTGTACAAAGAATTACAACTGCTTCTTGAAGCTTGTTTGTTAAAGCACACTATACATTATTCACTGTTGTTATGTGATGAGAGGTATATTAGATTACTTTGCAATTCAATCTTATAATTGGTCATTCCTTTTGACACATGATTGACATGAAAGTAGCTCAGCTCATTCAACAGTTCAGCCTTTGTGATGACATGAGTGTAAATATAATCCTTCAATTTAGAAAATGTAATGTTACTAATTTATATGGGAGAATAACTCAATTTTAATACTTAGCTTTCTGCAATTTATGCAAGATGACAGGATAGCTAAATATAGCGTACATACACACACAAGTTATTCAGAATTTAATGCAGTGGTATGACAAATGGCAGCACATTGAAAACGTTAAGGGGAGACTACTTAAACCCGAAACAGAGATACATCAGTACATCGAAATCACACGTTACATGGATATTCCAATTACATTCCACAAAGGAATGTAACAATAAGATCATTTAGATCTTCAGTGCAAGTAACATTCATTCATATTGACATGGAACTCTGAAATGTATATCAGAAACTCATGTAGCTGTTCATTGCTCCCTAATTGAGTGAAATCTCCAAGGACTGTAAGAAGCAAATGTATTACAATACTTTTTGAACTTTTGGAATTGGAAAGAAAGCAGAACCAAGAGATTATATATGGTTATTTTAGAAAGAATAACCACAGACCTGGATGCATGTTGTGGGCACTGTCTGCAAATTTACAGATAAAAGGTCTGTGCAAGTCTTAGGACTACGCACATTAATATTTATCTGAAGCAGATAATGCAATGTGTTAGGAGTCATGAGCCCAATTTGGATAAGCACAGTATGAAGCTTGTAGTCCAAGCTAAAAGGTTAACATTCATACATCCTTTCCAGGAAAGTATTAAAAAGGGCGAAAGAGGGAGATTCAAACTGTCAAAAATACACAGCTCTAAAGTACATACACAATGCTGTGAACCGATAGCTAGAGGAGAAAAAAAAGTGTTGGGTGCATTCTTAGGGCATGTATGTACAAGTTGAGGCATATTATTCTGTTCTTCCGCATGACTTTGGTCATATTTTACTTGAGAAAGTATGACCAGTTTTGGGTGATGATGTTGCTTTAGACAGAGTAAATTAATTCCTAATATAAAGCATCTTAGGATAAATGAATTGGGATTCTACATTTTACAGAATCATAAAAGGGGTGATCTGAGTCAAAAGATGAAGAGGGGCCTGGACTAGATTGTGAAATTGACAGTTTCTTCCAACTAAGTAGGTCAGTGAGGACAGGAGTTACAATTTGAAGCTGACAGGGGCCAAATCCAAGTCAGGAAACAGTAACTCCAAGAACAAGCTATTGTCTTATGCAGTTGCTACCAACATGCTCTATTACTCCAGATAAAAGCTGGACTTGTTTTTAGTTGGGGCAGACATCACTTGTTACAAAAAGTAGGTAACATCAAAAAGTTGGGGTCAAAATAATCTTCATGATTAGTTTTGATTGCCCAGATGGATCAGAGGAATTTCTCAAACTTTGATCCCCCACCCCCAAACTGGTTTGAATTTTAACTTTTTATTAGAAAACCTCTCCCAGAAAACCACATGGTTTCATGTGGAGTGGGATGTTTAACTACTGCGAAACTTACAAATGGTGTAAGTTGAACAGATAACTGTGGATCAGATAGTCTTTATTTTCTCATTCACACGGTTGGTCAATTGTTGCCAGCCACAATTATCAAATGGATAAGGTACAAATGTGGCTGGTGGAAATCCAAGATGTAGCCCCTGGTCTGATGGATAGATGCTGTTCACCAAAGGAACTTGTACTTCTTAAAAAGAACATATGATCTCATCTGTTAAAAAGTGTGCTAATATGTTACTTTACCTCATTGATCAAAACTGCAAGATGCTCCACTGGGTGCTGCAAGATCTCTCCAAGCATCAGTTCATTGACATGGTCATTATCGGATAATTTTCTACAATTTTTGAAAATATAAAGCATTTTGCTTTTTGATGGGACGGTCAACTTTGAAAAGAAACGGAAGTTGTTAATATTACACTGGTGAACTCTTAGTGTATTGAAATCACCATACAAAATTTAATGCAATTTTAGATTCAACTTATTATTGCCAAGATAATTGATATTGCATTTATAACAATAACAACGATTGTAATAATACATCACCTTCATAATTAGAGATTTTAGCACAGGTTTTGAATAATTTCTTTTGGCAAAATTCCTTATTCTTTTGGACAATGAATCAATAAAAAAAAAATCAAATCTCCCCCCCAATTTACTTTTTTCTAAACCAAAAAGTGCGTTTTGAATTAACAATAATAAAATCAACTTTAAAAAGTCTTATGACCCATTTTGCCCGTACCTGCATGTCAGCGTGCAGAGCTCCTCCTGTTCCAGTAAATAACAGTAGTCTTCCATTCTGCGCTTCATCGAGAAAATCCAGCAGCAGTTTTTTATTTTCATCCTCAGCAATGAAACTATTCCATCTTTCAGATTTTACCTTTAACGACTTAAACGCTTGCTCCTTTATAAATTCTATTCGTTCGTCGGCACTAACACGGAGAGAATTCAAAGCAACTTTTTCTTCAGTCATTGCATCAGCCTTAAAAGGCAATAGGAAGGAAAAAACAAATGAGAGGAAGGTCGACTAACTAAATTAGTTTTTTTTTCATTTCGTGTAGGTTTTTCTATGTTTTAAATGTAAGCAACGATTTGCTTTTGCTCTTGCTCATCATGAACTTCTCTTGCACCTGAAAGAGCTATAGAAAATGCTACTGAGCAGATCAGACAGCAGCTGTGGAGAGAAACGCAATCAACACGTCAGGCAGCTGTTAAAAGGCTCGAGATGGATTAAAGACAGGGAAAAGGGGATGGGGCAGGAAAGGAGAAGTCAGCGACTGGATGGAATGCAGGGGAAAAAAGTAAATGGCCAAAGGCTGGAGTGAAGTAAAGAGGGCGTGCAACTAAATGCTGGTCGCACCGAATCGACAGGACTAAATTATGGAAGTCAGCCAAACAATAAGAATGGGCTGTGCCACCCCCAGTGACACAAATTTTAAGAGGCACAAACAATTACAGAAGAAGTGGAAAGTTGACTAGCTAATTGTTAAGACGTGGCGGAGCTGCGCATTGCTGGGGAGTAAGTTGCAGTTCCCTCGGACTGGACAACCTGAGAGGAGCTAGCGATGTTCCTCCGGCGGGAGCCCGCTTACATATTCGCTGTGTGCACATGTTCCGGGATCAATAATGGATGAATAAAGATACCATATGCTGGGAGAGAAAACGGAGTATGCTCGAAATGAAAGCCAAATTATTACAGTTAGACAATAAAACAAGGCACAGGCGAGTGGAGCTCCTGATAGCAGGAACTCTGCCTAAAACCGGTGATAAAGACTGGAACCATCTAGATATTTGAGAACTGTTCAGATGAACACTTAAAAAGCCAGAGCATAGGAGGCTAAAGGCCAAATGCTGGAAAATGGGTTTGGAGTGGAAGGATGTTTGATGACTGGTGCGGACATGATGGACCGAAGGATATTTTACTTATGTGGCAAATATTCTATAAACTATGAATCTCCAAAATTAAATTTAATCACTTCCGCTGGTTACTTATTTCAGGGTTATGCAGTGCAGTAAGGTACTTGGTATCAGGCGCGCATGAGAAATACCGCTGAAAGAACTTGAGTGAGCCGGGATTAGTGCAACATAAAATACAAGCAAGGAGGGCACTAATTGCGGTGGTAATTGTGCCAGGAGGCTTGTGTTCAAGTTCAACTGCTCCAGAAGTGTGTAATAACATCTCTGAATAGATGGATTTAGAGAATATCTGTAGAGATAGATCAATGAAAATTTACGGAAATGAGGGGTTTGGAGAGGAACACAACTATGAAAATAACTAAGAATAGGATTAAGCATCTAAACTGGGCTAAAATGAATGATGGGGAAGCTATTAAATGCAATAGCAATGATAAAAGCAACAATGCACGAGTAATATTCATAAATTTAGTTATTTCTTTATGGGAGGGGCGTTGCTAAACCTGATTTTAGCGAATTAACAGTTGTTAGATGGACCTCCTGACTAAATCAAAACATTAAAGATTCAGCAAAGAAAATGGAAATTAGGGTGGGTAAGTAAAAAGAATGTTTGTGTTGCTAGCCCACAAAAAATGCTTAAGACTAGCAACAGAATCACATCAGCTAATTGAGGTGTCTGAAAGGGAAATTTAGTAATCAGTTTAGTAGGAAAGAAATGGAAGTTGTAGGAGCTGAATCCAATAAGCATAGCACAAGATACCAAAGGGAAAATATAACTCAAAGCCTAGGTAGCTGAAAAAGATTGGACTAAAGCAGGAGTCAGAGCACAGAAACAGATTCAGCAGTCTAATTTGTCTGCACAGACCAGACATCCCAAACTGACCTAGTTCCATTTCCCAGCGTTTGGCCCCAAATCCTCTAAAACCCATCCTATTCATATACCCATCCAGATGCTTTTTCAATGTTGTAATTGTACCAGCCTCTACCATTTCCTCTAGCAGCTCATTCTATACATGCACTACCATTTGTGAAAAAGTTAGCCCGCGGGTCCTTTTCAAATCTTTTCCCCTCACCTCAAATCTGGGCCCTCTATTCTGGGCTCCCCTACCTGACGAAAAAGACTGGCTATTCATCTTATCCATGCTACCCATGATTTTATAAACCTCTAAAAGGTCACCCCTCAGCCTCCAAAGCTCCAGGGGAAAAAAGGCACAGCCTACTCAGCCTCTTCCCATAACTCAAGCCCTCCAGTCCAGCAACATCTTTGTATAGCTTTTCTGAACCCTTACAAGTTTAACATCTTTCCCATAGCAGGACAACCAGAACTGTATGCAACATTCCAAAAGTGGCCTCCTCAATGTTCTGCGCAACTACACACCATGTCCCAACTCTTATACTTAGTGCATTGACCAATGAAGGCAGGTGTGCCAAACATCATCTTCACCAGCCTGTTTACCTGTGACTCCATTTTCAGAAGCTAGGACAATAGGATGTAGGAACTGAACATTAGTTCAGTCCTCCCAGTTAGGAGTGTAGGGTATGCATAGTTTTGAGAGTTGGTTAGCAGTATTGTGTTTTTCAGCTTGGTCATGTAGTAGTGTGACGTCAGGTCAGATAGTATTTTGTAGTCCAGCCAGATCGAATACTGGATGGTTAAATTAAGTACAAACTAAATATATTTGCACCTTTACAGAAAGGCAAAATAGTGATCAAATCAAGTAGTCGTACATTTGGAGAAAGCTAAGATTTCACTGCAAATACAAAGTTACAAATACACAGAAAATGATAGTGAATCATGTTGATTCATCTTTGCCCCAGAATTCAAAATTTAAACTAGTGAGTTTCATTCCCCCAGAGTATTGTAATACTCCAAAGGACAATTTATCCAAGTTTAATATTTTCCCTCAATCCAATTTTCCTCTTTGACAATACTCAATTATAATGCTTCCCAGTCATTCCTCTCTACCTTTCCCAATCCCTAATTACATAGAAATTACAGCTCAAAAAACAGCCTGTGACTATATCCATCTTCTTCCACTCAAGCCTCCTTCTGTCCTTTCTCATTCAGCTATTAACATAACCCTCTGTTCCCTTCAACATTAACTCATCCCCTTTAATGTCATCTCAAAAAATTCCCATGACAGAGTTCACATTCTTGTCACTCAAGAACTCTTCCAAATTTGATTTTTGGTGCCCATTTCATCACTTGCTCATAGTTTTGTTTGTCTCAAGAGGAAATACTAGCCCTGTCAACCCTATTAAAATCTTGCATATTTTCAAGTTTTCTCAATCAGCCCTCAATGCTTTTTCAAGAGACCTAGCCTGTTCATTCTTTCCTGGTATAATCTTGTAATATGATACTTGTAGTACATTTTTTGTACCTGTTCCAGTGGTTTTATGTTGTTTTTATAATACAGCAATCCAAACAGTACACGATATTCCAAGTGTAGTCTAGCCCAGTTTTGATACAAGTTAATCACAGCTTATTTACTGTTTAATTCTATCCCTTTAAGATGTATCATGGCCTTATTGACCTATCACATTTAGCGAAGGTACACTAAGATCCCTTGGCTCCTGTTCTCCATTTAGGTTATTTTCCAAATAATGTTACTGTCAGAATTTCTCTTCCCAAAATACAAAATTTCACTTACCCATGTAACACATGAATTTCATCAATCCATTGGAAATTCTATGGTTCCACAATTCATTGAGGTCTCTGATGCCACATCATTTCAAAGTTGTGATCAGGATAAAGCTTTTTTTTTTAAATAAAATAAATCGTACAGACTTATCTGTAACTGGTCTCAATTGTGGTTTATTTGTTTGTCCAGCATTCCTTGGAATAATGCATGGGAGCTTAAAATAGGAGCATTCCACACTTCTCTTACATTCCAGGCCAAAACTTTTACTAGACTTTAATCTTAAAATTCCTTATGGTAATGACAATCACTTTAAAATGTTTTACATAAGCACGCTATTTCTAATGGGTATCCCTATTTTCAGTTTTAATTTTCATTCATTCATCTGCACAATTGCTGTTTTACATTAATAGTGGAGGAAGAATGGATGAACAAAGATGGTATTTGAAATTTTACAACAAATATTATATTAGTGGGTTAGTAAGAAATACACATTGATAAGCGCATTTCATATGGCAAGATGATATTACACATCCAGGAACAAAGTTCTATAACTTCCTAAACTATACCATGACCTTAGCATTCATGTGGTCAGCATACAGAATCAGGAACTTAAACATGCAACTTTAGCAAAAACAAACACCAAAAATTATCTGTATTCATGATAATACAACAGGCAAGGGAAGTAATATTTTAAAAATGCAATGGCCAATTTTAGCTATTTGTAAACTCTGATGGAACTAGTTTTAAGAATTTGTACTTTCCCCCTTTGAACAAATGAAATTGCAGAGGCCACGTGTAAAAGTAATTTAGGCTTTGCAAATTTTATAGAAAAATAGACTGGTTTTTTAATACTGATGAAAATTTAAATAAGGTCAGCAATTTGTTGATAGTATAATCTTACTTTATTAGCAGTTTAATTTATATTTATACATTTTGAAGGAACATGTAAGACTAGACAATTACCACATGGCAATGTATATATTTTTTATTGAATTTTAAAATCAAGTTTCATCATTGTTTTAAAATACCACATTAATTGTTTTGGGAGGGAAGGTAGAGGTAGGGAGAAAAGTATGATCTAGTTTATCTCAAATGCAAAGAAAACTGCTCAAACAATCTATTTAAAACATTAATGAAAAGTAAAAAAAAAAAAAAAATGCAATAGGTCACTACAAAACAGTACTATCCATTATATATTTTCACATGTAACATACACTTTTTACCCCAACTGTTGGCACTTGCACATAACACATCTGAGTTTGAGGCCCATTTTTCCAATGCAAGTTGACATACCTTATGTGAGGAAAATAATTACTGCAATAAAGGAACTATACTTAAACTGCAAATATCACTGCAGGGAAACTTCAAAAAGTCTTGAATCCTATGTTGAAATACAATGCACAATGTAGGCTTTTTGCAGAGTTCTAGATAATCAGATCACTTTTACTAAATAGTAATTGGATTCAAAGTAGAAACAGTGATCAACTGAGTTACGGTATAAACATTTTTCTCTATATCTGTGTCTGTATGCACACAGTACTACTTGACCATAGGAATGCTGCTATATCACGTGACACCAAAGCTTCATACTAGTGGTTTCTTAAAATGATTAAAACCAAAGAAAATATTGAAACCACAATTCATTTCAGTTAGTTCAAAGCTGGTTTATACTGTAATCTGAATGTTTATTCCACTCATCTGATTTCATTACAAAAAAGGACAAGACAGTTAAAATAAATTTCAAGGGCGTAAAAACAACAAAGTGATGCAGTACTTTAAAAAATATAACTGGCACAAGATGTCTCTCGTATATCCTGAAGCAAAGTGCAACAGAATAGTTTAACAGCACTGCACATCTGGAAGCAATAATGGTCACCCTAGGGGTTTGTGAAGAAAAAAAAAAGTCAAATGGTAGCATCTTTATCCCCATTTCTATGGTACTGAAATGATGATAGAGATTAAATAGTTATGCATTACCTCTGTCGCCTTAACAAATACACAATAAAAATACAAACCGAATATATATATGCGCAACAAATAGTTAAGGTAAAAACTTGTATAGAAAATTACAAAGGGTAGATGCATAAGGATCTGCAATGTGTCAAAGCAGTTTTATGTAATAGTTAACTTTGAAACTTCAAGGTTAATTACAATCAACACACAGTCATTTGGCAGATGACCCTTAACATTTAGCAAGAAAAAAAATGGCTTTTAATAAATTGAAAAAATAGATTAAGACTTCAGATCCTTTTTTTTTTACAATATTCCTCTTTTATAAAGAGCTTAATGATACACAGAAATGCATACTTTGACATTTAAATGGCAAACAGCTAGTTTACTAATCAGCTTTTAGAATGCACACCGGTGACCCTTTACGGCTGAAATACGCTTATTTGTATCAGAAAATGCAATGCATTGAATTAGAAAATTGCTATGAAATTTAATAGAAAACAGATTTATCACAATAAATTGTGTTCAAGATGTATATACTTTCCCATTCTGAACTGGATCGTCCCCAAATCTTTTTAATTTTCAAGATTTCCTCATCAGTCTTGCATAGCTATTTCCCTGTGTATATAATCTATCATGAGTGCTAGTTTTGAAAAATTGCTACATGTGGTGAGTATCTGCAAAATGTACATGCAACATTGCCAGTGTTCAATAGATATATGAATACTGTATTACAAATACATAGAAAATAAGGCATTTTAGTGACATTGTCACTTTTCCATAATACATGAATTTTTTTGAACCACACTGATAAAAAGACTGCAGAAAAAGCTCAAAATTTACTAGCTTTTTACTCCATTATAAAATCACTAACACATTGTTTTTTCTATAAACGGCATTTTTCAGTCCATACAGTCATCTCCACCAATAGTGACTAACTGTATATCAGTATTATGTAACATTTCTTCAGTATTTGCACCATCAGAATGATCAGTTCCAATCCCTTCCATATGGCCCTGCTGAATGCTCGCTATTACAGGTGACATAATAGTTCCTCCTGAAGTAAGGATACCAACATCAGAGGCAGATGTCACTTCCATTGATGATATAGCTGCACTGTTGTGGCTGGAAAGGTTGGCTCTCTTGTTCTGATGTGTTTTGATGTGCTTTGAAAGGTGGTCACTTCTTATAAAGCGTTTGGAGCATTCTGGACAGACAAATTTTTTCTCACCTGTTTGGTATAAATTGAGACTTTTATCAAGAATCAAATACCCCAAAGTGCTTTACAATGAATTATTTGTAATGAAGGAAACACAGTGAGATCTAAAGGTTAAGCATTTACAAAGTATTAGTTAATTTGTGGAATCCTTTGCAACTTTGCTCCTCTGTAAATAAAAAACTTAACACAATACTTGAAAGTATTATTTCAACTTATAAAAACACATACATCTGCAATAAATTTCTGTCTATCATTTACAATTCACAAATCAGGAGTGCAATAAAATACCCATTTGCCTTGAAGAGTGCAGCTTCCATTAACTCATCAACAGCTTGACACCATTGAGGACAAAGTAGCCTAATTGACAGACATACATCCACCTCCAATGCTCACCAGCAGTGGTATATACCATCTTACAAGATGTACTGCAAAAATTCACGAAGGCTTCTTACAGAGCATCTACTAAACTCATGACCACTGCCAACTAGAAGGCAAAGGGCACCAGACACATGGGGACACCTGAGATTTACCTCAAAGCCACTTGCCATCCTAACTTGGAAATATATCATTGTTCCTCCAGTGTCGGTGGACTTCACTAATAGCATCTTGGGGGTACCTACACAAAACAGATTGCCGCAGTTCAAGGCAGCAGCTCATCATCCCCACCTTCAAGGACAACTAGGACTTACAGTAGGTACCCACCACATACCATGAATAAAAAACATACTTCCAAAATAAATTCCTATGATACTTTTCACAGATGACTACACTGCAGACTCAATTGTGTCTTCCAGATTCTGTCCACACAGCAAACAAACTTTACAACTAACCCTTTCCCAAATTATGGAATTTTGTTATCCAGCTAAAAAAAAAATTCAGAAAGGTGCAAAATCTAACTCAGATTTGCTCTAGTCCCAATTTTTCAACAAGTTCTAACCCTATTTCATCTAAAGACTATATTTGGTCTTCCCTCAGTATGTAAAGGAAATCAGACCATCCATCAGCTTTCCTTCCACTGTCAACCTAACAAAGTGGTGGCAGAAAGATGTTGCATCATCCAGGAAGAGGATACATAAGGTGTCAAACATTAGGGACTGAGGGTTGGGGGGTTGTCAGAACAGTGAGATTCATAGAATGGTACGGTACAAAATGGGCCTTGGCCCATGACAATGTACCGAACATGACACCAAATTAAACCAGTCCTTTCTGTCTACCCTTGGTCCATATCACTTCATCCCTTGCATATTCACATGCTTATCTAAAAACCCCTTAAATGCCTCCACGACCACACCTAGCACCAGTTTCCAGACTCCTAACACTGAATAAAAAACTGCCTCTCACATTTCCTTTGAACTGCCCCCTCCCCACTCTTAACTTAAAAGCATGCCCCCTAGTATTAAACAATTCAACTCTGGGGAAAAAGATTCTGACTGTCTACCCTATCTACGCAACTCAATTTTAGAACAAAGAAAGTTACAGCACAGGAACAGGCCCTTCGGCCCTCCAAGCCTGCGAGACTTCCTTCAGCCTCTGCCACTCCAGAGAAAACAACAGGTTTTTCTAGCCTCTCCTTAAAGCTCATACCCCTAATCTAGGCAGCATCCTGGTAAACTTCTTCTGTACATCCTCCAAAGCCTCCACATCCTTCCTGTAATGTGACGACCAGAATTGAATGCAATATCCTAAGTGTGGCCTAACCAAAGTCTTATAAAGCTGCAACATGACATCCTGATTCTTGTACTCAATTCCTCAACCAAGGAGGCATATCATACACCACCCTGACGACCCGACCTGCTTGCGTGGCCACTTTCAGGGAGCTATGGACTTGAACCCCAAGATCCCTCTGTACATCCTGCCATTAACTGGATGCTTTTCCTTAATGTTTGATCTCCCAAAGTGCAGCACCTCACACTTACCTGGATTAAACGCCACCTGCCATTTCTGCACGCATAACTGCAACTGATCTACATCTCACTATATCCTTTGACAACCTTCCACACTATCTACAACTGTACAGTTCTTTGTACTGTTTGCAAACTTACTAACCCATCCGTGTTTTCATCCAAAATCATTTTTTAAAAAAAATATATCACAAACAGCAGAGATCCCAATATGGATTCCTGTGGAACACTAGTTAGACCTCCAGCCAGAAAAACACCCTTTCACCACTATCCTCTGCCTTCTATGGGCAAGCCAATTCAGAATCCAAGCAGCCAAGTCATCGTGGATCCCATGCATCTTGATCTTCTGGATGAGCCTACTATGACGGACCTTGTCGAAAGCCTTACTAAAATCTATGTGACAACATCCACTGCTCTACCCTCAGCAATCACCCGCTCAAAAAATTCAATTAAGTTATTAAGACATGACCTGCCCTGCACAAAGCCATGCTAATGGTCCCTAATTAGGCCATGCTTTTCCAAATGCACACGAATCTCATACCCAAGAATTATCTACAACAGGTTCCCAACTACTGATGTGAGACTCTCCGGTCTATAGTTTCCTGAATTATCCCTATTCCCTTCTTGAACAGAGGAACAACGTTAGCTACCTACCACTCCTCCGATATCTCTCCAGTGGCTAGCAAGGATACAAAGATCTTGGTCAAGGCCCCAGTAGCCTCTTCGATTGCCTCTCTCAATAATCTGGCTCAAAAGGGGTCTAATCTTCAGAATCAATAGACTATTTAGAAGAATCGTAACAGCCAGATTTTTCCAATTTTATTTTTGGTTTAAAGCTGTCTTTCACGACAGTTTCACAAAAGTTGCTGTGCTGCTTCTTATAAAAGCTCACCAGAAAGTCAAAACTGCTCACAATTGGAGTACTTTGTGCAGTTCTGGTCATTACACTATAGGAAAGATGCAATTACACTGCAGCAGATACAAAAAAGAGATTCACCAGGATGTTGCCTGGGATGCAGCACTACTGCTACAAAGAGAAGGTGGATAAACTCAACTTATTTTTTTTGAAGCAGAGAAGGTTAATGGGGAATCTGAAAGAAATGTATAAGATTATGAGGGGCATGGTCAGGGTGGACAGAAAGCAGCTGTTCCCCTTCGTTGAAGTATCAGTAAAAAGGGGTCATACTTTTAATGGTGGAAGCCAGGAGGCTTAGAGAGGATTTGAGGAAATATTTTTCACCCAGAGTTGGGATAAGTGTCAGCACGAATCAGTTGGACTTAACTACTTACATTGGTGGTGTAGACACTTGGCTATTTTTACAGTTTGCATTTATTTGGCATCTTTAACATAACCAAACACATTTGGTTATGATGGAAGAAGTAAATGGATGCTGAACCAAAAGGAGAAGAATATTAAATAGAGTATTAGCCAGCAGAGGTAGGCTGTTCTACCAGGTGATGCTCGGTAGCTGATGGGATGGATGCCAGTTCTGGTTGCAAATGAAAGAAGAAGGCAGAAGACACTGGAGCCAGAAATAGTTTCTTGCAACACAAGAAGGCAACAGCAATAGGGGAGTCATTTCAGGATTTTGAACACAAGTTTAAGTTTGAGGTATCAGTGAACATCAGGAGCCAAAGGAGCCCATTGAGAATGGGTAGCAGTTTGGATGAGAGAAAATTTAGAGACTTGCAGAGTTAAATCTTGCAGCTGAAAGTATAGTGAGAGTTTCAGTAACAATGGGGGAAGTTGGAACAAAAATGGAGCCTTTATAATGAAGGGGAAATTTCATCCAAATTACAAGTTGGGGTAATTTTGATCAGAGGTTACATCCAGGTAATTGTTATTCATGATTTTCTTAGGACTGTTTGAGATGTGAAAGGGCAAAAATTTGACTGGAGGAGTTCAGATGCAGCAGTGGGAGAGATGGCGTGGATCTGGAGAGTAACAGTATACTCAAGAATTTGGAAAAGAACAGAAAGATGGAGAAAATTACTGTTTTCCTCACAATAGATGTCATAGTCTTTGAGAAGACTGCACAATAAGCTGAGGAAATATCAATGTCTGCAAGGGTTCCCCGCTTAAGCTTGAAAATTACTGTTAATATATTTTGCCCAGTTTTATGCAAATATTTAAGTGAGCTGTATTAGGAAATCAATAAGTAGAATAGCTAATATCACTATCCATATTTCTAGATAACTTATAGCTCTACTACCTATCAGTCCTGATGCCAATCCCCTTGCAAATCATTATCATGTGAAGTTGGAAAAGAGCTCTGCAATATCCACAGCGTTAAAATGAGTGAAGTACAAATATTATCACTGCCACAAAACCTACAATTTTTAAGTATCTTTCACCGGAGCACCTAACCCTTCTTGCAGGTAGCATTTCAATTCGAGAATACTGTGAACAGATCTAAAGTCAGAAAACATACTGAGTAATCAAAGCAATAATTCAGAAAATAAATGTTTTGTGAAAGATGTAACTATGCTTATTGTAATTGATTGTAAGATCTAACTTAGCTTGGATATTTAGCTTTAAGGCTTCAGGAACAGAGTTCTGTTGGACAATAAATGGGAAATCATGCTAGTGACTGACATTAAGATAATGAGTGAAATCTACTCTAGTTTTAAAAAGGTAGAAACAGTAACCTGTATGTGTTTTTCTGTGTCGTTGCAGTTCATCGCTGCGAGTAAAGCGTTTTCCACAGAAAACCCAGTTACAGACAAAAGGTCGTTCTCCTGTGTGCCAGCGAAGGTGAGCTCGAAGATGGGAGGTTTTTCCATACGTCTTTCCACAGCCAGGAAAGTGGCAAATATGTTGTTTTTTCTTGCCCAAGTTATTGGAGGATCTGAGGAAAACCACAAATTCGAACATAATGTGCACGCACTCATTTTATCCTCTGAATCACAAACACGTATTACATTTTCAAAATTTTTCTACAGAATTAACTGCAGTAACTGAAAATATTTCCCTGGTAACCAAATCCAAACAACCATTATGCACTACTATATGACTACTGTGAGAAATTGCAAAATAATTTTTAGCAAGCTTTACATTAATTAAGACTGGAGGACCAACAAACGCTGGAGTTTTGCAGTCAGATTTGTTTGAATATCAAATTAAGATTCCAAATTGCATAATATTTAGAAAATCGAAATAAGTAATGTAAATCCTGTTGTATAAGTGAACTGCTGATAAATTACTTTATTAAAAAGTGCATAGAATCTGAAAATGATGAACATTTCCTGTCTTTGCCTCTAACTAACACACTTACCTGGATAAATACTATTCAGGTTTCTATAGTGATAACTTTGCATCATATAACAACTCTGACTTACACAATGCCCTTAACGCCCTACAAGAAAAAGGCACTGAGCTAAAAAAGGAGACATTTAAGAGCTATGACTACAAGCTTAGCTAAGGACAGTTGTTATGAAGCAAATCTTCATGAGCTAGGCGGCACAGTGGAACAGTGGTTAGCACTGCTGTCTTTCAGGATCAGGGTCCTGGGATCAATTCCAGGCTCAGGCGACTGTGTGGAATTTGCACGTGTTCTCAGTGTCTGCATAGATTTCCTCCAGGAGCTCCAGTTTCCTCCCACAGTCCAAAGATGTGCAGGTTGGGTGTGTTGGCCAGGCTTCATTGCCCACAGTAGGAGGGATGTGTAGGCTATGTGGACTGGCCATGCTAAGTGGGGGTTGCAGGGATAGGGTGGGGCACTGGGTCTGGGTGGAATGCTCAAGGGCCAGCACAGAATCAATAGGCCCAACGGCCTTTTTCCACACTGTAGGGATTCGAGGATAACTACAGTGACTCGAGACAGGCAAAGCTACAAGTGCTAATGTCAGAGGTATAAAAGTTAGAAATATCTCTGTAAACGTACAAAAGAGTTTGGATACAAATTAGATATTTTAATTTGAAGTATTGGGGGAGGCGGGGGAGAAAGAGAGACACCATAAGCATGTGTCAGCACAAAAGGAGAAAGGTAGTGGAACGGGAAAAAAAATAGAGATATGCAATAACAAACTTGAAGTTGGGGAGTTGAATAATGAAATTCAGGCAAGTATTTGGGCCAAGTAAGCAACAATGCCTCAGAGGTAGAAGTAGACAGTCTTTGCAATAAGATGGAATATGGAATAAAAAAATACTCAACTCTGGGTTGAAATGGCAGTGAGGCTAACCATAATCTAGTTCAGCCTAAATAATGGCTACTGTGCGTTGCGGTCCAAATATCATAAAGAATATGTGGCAGGGCTCAAAGACGACAGCCATGTTCTTGATACTTAGCCGTAGAAAGTTACAGATCATCCCGACATCAAATGTTGAGCCATCAAGCTAACAAAAAAAAGTGGACTGAGTAAGATGGGTTGAAAGATCTGGAATTTACCAGCATAGATGAAGAAGCTGACTTCATATCAACAAATGCATTCAGCATTGGCCAGCAAGTAGGACAAACAGCAAGGGAAAAGATAGATTTTTGGCGGATGTTGGACATGGTGATGCAAGTGTGGGAAGAGAAGCCTTGCCAGACAGAGAGTCCACTTATGCAAAGAACAACAAAGCCAAACAATGTTGAAAAAAAGAGGATGATGTGATCAGCAATTTAAAATGGATACAGAACAATCTAAAACATTAACACAACCAATGCATCAGATCAAAGCTTTGCAGTCACGTCATATCCAGTTGTGAATGGTAGCAGACAATTTAAACAAGTAGAGGCAGCAGCTTCACAAATATCCTCATCTCAATGATGGGAAGTCCAACACAGTGCAAAAGACAAGGCCAAATTTTTCTGTAATCATCATCCAGAAATACTGAGTGGAAATATTGGAGGCCTCCTCCTGCTCCTATTTTCAATGCAACGCTATGGCTGCTAAGAAGCTTGAGTGAATGCTGACCTATGCAAGACTCCTTTAAATTGTCTTCTGCTAATAGTGGGAACCACCTAACAGCCACATCTGAGGCCAGATGGCTGTTGCAAATAAAAAGCCTGTGATATGGGAGGACCTTTATCCCCAACCTAGATTAAAAATTTGCCGTTTAAACTGTTCGCCACACTCCACAACCCCTTCATCATCCTGCTTGGCTGATGAAGCCCACCCAAGTTCCCCTTGCCTTGAATTTCTTCCCTAACTGCATTGTGAGTTTACTTACAGCACATGGGCTGCAGCAGTTTACCACCATTTTCTTAAAGACAACTCGGAATTAGTTAAGCAAGAAAAAAATTTTGGGAAGTACCGATCAATTATCATGAAATAAGTTTAAGCAGGCAGGGAGTTAATGTTTTAAACATATATTAAAAAACAGCTGATTTGCATTCAGTACATCACATTCAGGAATTTTAAAATTACAACAGCTCAAGTTTACAAGAAAATCAAATGTCAGCATGCATTTTGATTAAGATTGGCTTCTTTTTTCAAAATGTTGAAACAAAAGAATGTTGAAGGAAAAGAAATAACCATAATCAAAATACAATTGCGAAGAGACCTTATACACTGTCTATAAAAGGAAAAATAAAAAAAAAATCCTTTTTCAATGATTTTACGTGAAAAAAGAACATTTTGTTTACAACACTTGTACATCAAAGGAGATGCAATTTTGCCATGCATTTTGATAGGCATAGTCTCTACTTTTCTCGCTGCGGGGTAAATGGCACATTTGCTTTTTAACCTGCAGATAGACTTGGACATGTGGGCAAGTAGCAAGAATTGGCAGGTGGAAAACAATGTGGCAAAGTGACAGGGTATACATTTTGGTTAGAAGAATGGAGGCATAGACTATTTTCTAAATGGGAAAGGCTTCAGAAGTCTTCCGTGCAAAGGGACTTGGGAGCCTAGTTCAGAATTTTCTTAAGGTTATCATGCAGGTTCAGTTGGCAGTTAGGAAGGCAAATGCAATGTTGGCATTTATTTCACGATGGCTAGAAAACAAGAGCAGAGATGTATTGATGAGGCTGTATAAGACTCTGATCAGACCATATTTGGAATATTGTTAGCAGTTTAGGGACTTGTACCCAAGAAAAGATGTGCTGGCATTGGAGGTGATCCAGAGGACGTTTACAAGAATAATCCCAGGAATGAAGGGCTCATCATATGATGAGTGGTTGAGGACTCTGGGTCTATACTCGATTGAGTTTAGAGGATGGGGGCAGAGCGGGGGAACAATTCCTATTGAAACTTACAGGATACTGACAGGCTTGGATAGAGTGGACGTGGAGAAGATGTTTGCACGACTGGGAGAGATTAGGACCCAGGAACACAGACCCCGGCTGAAGGGATGACCCTTTAGAACTGAGATGAGAAGGATTTTTTTCAGCCAGAGGGTGGTGATTCTGTGGAACTCATTGTGGCAACGGGCTACGAAGGCCAAGTTATTGATTGTATTTAAGATAGGAGATAGGTAGGTTCTTGATTAGTAAGGGGACCGAGGGTTACAGGGAGAAGGCAGGAGAATGGGGTTGAGAAACATATCAGCCATCATTGAATGGCGGAGCAGAACTGATGAGCTGAATGGCCTAATTCTGCTCCTATATCTTATGGTCTAAAGTGAAATTAACAAGTGTTGTGATCCTAGTTGATGGCAATACTGGACAAGTTGGATTCCAGAATGAAACCTTGTTTGATAGATCGTAAGTTAATAATAGATAAAGTGCGGAGCTGGAGGAACATAGCAGGCCAGGCAGCATCAGAGGAACAGGAAAGCTGACGTTTCGGGTCAGGACCCTTCTTCAGAAAGTTGATACATCGTAAGTGTTGTTTTTGCAGTTGATTACTGTGGTGGCTAGTTATTGAACATATTCACCTGAAGCTGCCACGGTTCTTTTAACTCAAGTTTATTGGCTTACACAAACGAAATACACAGGCAACGTGAAAAGATCTTATCAAAAAACACAGATCCAACCATTTTCCCAGCAATATCCTTTTCCAATACTCATTCCAGAGAACAATCATTCCTATTTGACACTTTAATATCTCACTTACTGGATTCATTCCAGTTTTCCCCTCAGACTGCTGAAACAGTTTTAAAGTTGCTTTCATGTTCTGATGGCCCAAACCACCTTTCAGTTCTGAGAACCTGTATTCCTTAAACATTTTAAGGAGTATGGAGAGGGGTCAGGAATATGACTTTGACAGCAGATCAATGATGATCGTATTGAATGGCAGACCAAGCTTGATGGATCAAAAAGTTAATATTTGTTTCTAGGAAAACAGTCCTTCAGCACATAAAAAAATCCAATTCTGCTGCTAGGACAGAACTATTCTTCATTCTAGCATGAAACTAAACTCTAACAAAACAGATAGTGTGTTTCGGCATGTAAACACCATCGATTAACAGAGGTATGTTGCTGGTCTTGCCGAATCACATTGTAAAGGCTAATTTTTTTTGGAATATAGGCTAGAAAAATGGACATTTAGAAACTGTACTGCAGATAATGTTCCAGGCCTTTTTTTGCCCACACCCAAAAAGGTTAGAAGTAGAACTGTGATATATCAACTTATCTGTCACAACAGGTCACGTAACTTTTACTGGACACTTTTGAGAGGTAAGTTGGCACCAAGTATTTATGGATTGAAAAGGTGCCTGGCAACAGCCTTTGGAGTCATAGTTGCAGTTTGTCACAGACCCGAGGAGGAGTAGTTGAATTCAGACCTCCAGAAAGAATGACAAAATAATTAGAAGGTTAATCTGGACATATAAATGAGAATATTAGGAGAAGATTAGTTGGAATGTAAAACTAGATAGCAAGTTTCTACAGGTATCTAAAAAGGTAAAAAGTAGAGTGTGTTGGTTCTCTATAACAACAGGAGAATATGGAGTTAATAGTATGAAGAAAGTGGTAGTGAAAAA